AATGCTTGCTGCCAATTTCTGCCGCAAGCTCACACAGCTAATATAGAGTGTAAAAAGCCCGAGATTATACACGAAGATGGCGATTATGCTGTGGTCACTTTAAGGAAGAAGTTCCCTGATGTGATCGCCTCTCATTGTCATAAACTTCGCGATGCTATTCAGGAACTCATCGAGACGTACTGCCATGCATTTAAGGTCGACTTTCAATTAAATAACAAAGGAGAATTTTCGACAAGTGAGAAGGCCAATCCAATTATATACAATAATATACTTTGTATAAGATAAAATTATCATATAATCATAATACGTTTTTTCTTAACAGATACACTGATTGCGACGGAAGTAATCGACACTATTCTGGTGCGCGTTGGAGCTCTGCATAGGCTACCGGCCACGTGGAAACATGACGATTATATAGTGGCAGCTCAAATCTTTCACGGTACCAGACCTGTGGGAAATCCAGTTTTATCGGAACCAATGACGGTTAGCACAAATTTTCACCCAAGGATTTTATTTAATTCGTGGTGAGTACGAAAACGCGCACTTGCATGGCTCTAGACTGCCAGTTGGACATTTAACAAAGATTATACTTTGTACTAGGTTGGAATTTCGCGGAATAAGTGTGTGTCAAGTACCACGGGAAGCTCGACTTGTGTTAGTTCTTTACGGACGCACGCTACAGCCTGCGGAGCACGAGTCCAATTCGTCCTCGGAAAACGCAATGCAGAAAGAAGAGTTGGGATGGGGTGCTATACAATTCTTCGATTATGACGGGTAATTAACGTGCCTGTTACATTTCATAAATTGTTCCTCTCATTCGGCTTTTTATCCTTTTATTACCACGTGTTTTCGTTGCGTCACCGTCTCGTGTTTATGATCTACCTTCATTTTAATTCTAGCGTCATGAGCCAAGGCAGTTTTTTTCTGTCCCTCTGGCCAGCCATTGCAGACAAACGATTAGGTCCGGCGCCAGCGCTTGGAATTCATCCACGTGGCGACACTTATCCCATAATAGGAGTAGAATTGCCTGATTATGGGGGAAAGGTGTTATTCCCCAATTCCTCGGAATTGCGAGATTACGACGTGGACTCGTTAGACTTCAATTCGTTAGATCAAAATACACAAGAACTATTGATAGACATTACACAGCAAGATACATTCTCGAGGTACGTTAATAATGTGATTAAAACCATGGCAAGATTTAAACTTTTCAAATGACATTTTGCAATGATCAATTCCTATTTCCAGACCGCCTATAGATGAAAGGGAAATTCTATGGGAGAAGAGGCATTATTTGCACAACAGGCCTGAAGCTTTACCAAAAGTATTGCTAGCGGCACACAGTTGGGATTGGGCGTGTCTACCAGATTTACACGCGTCGCTCAGAATTTGGAGTCCATTACCGCCAGTACAAGCGTTACAATTACTTTTACCATGGTGTGTATTTCTGTTGATCATTTCTCTATTACGGTTCCTGAAGAATCTTATCGTAGAACGTTGCCTTTTCTGTTTCTCGCAGCTTTCCAGATATGAAAGTTCGAGAGATGGCAGTTGACTGGATTCGCGAGTTAAGTAATGACGAACTGGTCGATTATCTGCCGCAGCTACTTCAAGCGATGAAACACGAGACGTACGAAGCATCGCCTCTAACTCGATTCTTATTAGAACGTGCCTTACTTTCACCGAGAGTGGCTCATTATGTCTACTGGTTACTAAATCAAGCACTACCGGGACAAAGTCCCCAGGTACAGGTTGGGTGATCAGCATTGGTGACGTTATTAAATGCTTACGCATTCGCATTCAATGCTTACAGTACAGATTGCTGATGAAAGATCACGTTAACTATATAATTAACGCAGTAAAGAATTGCTTCATGCAATGTATATTAATAGAGGAAAGGCCTCTATTCTGAAATAGGATTCTAATATAAGATAGTAGGTTTTCAACATCCAAATTCAATTACAAATCTATTTTTGCAACGATTACACGATTTAACAATCAATTTTCCACTAAACGGATTCACTCCAAGAGCAGTAAATTCATAATGGAACCAACAGATGATGCCTATTAATTAGCAGAATTTAGCAGTCCGCTATCTCATAATAGAAACCTATCTCTTAACAGGGGACTTTCCTCTAGTAATGTAAACTTTTCTATATTAAATAAAGTATGTTTTTTTTTTAGAATTCTGCTGAAATTGCCGCGGAAGATGACAAAGCTATCAGTTGTGCTCGTTATCAACGAAGATTGCAGCTAATGTTGCGAGCGTTATTGGCTATTATCGGAGACGCGCTGAGGAAGAGTTTCCTCACCCAACAATTGCTGGTTAAGGTGCTTCTTAAGTTTTGTATCTTGCTTGTTTCAAATAGTCTCGTCTATTTCAAATATATCTTAAGCCATAATCCGTACAGAATCTGCACGAAGTGGCTGAAAATATCAAAGTTACAAAGGAATCGTTACGAATGGATACGCTTAAAACTGGTTTACAAAATATACACTGCCAGTTAATGGAAGACGATGGCACGTGCTTACCACTGTCTCCCAGTAAACTAGTGTTCGGTATCAACGTACAGACATGTGCCTATTTCCCGTCGTTTACTCTTCCGTTGAAAATTAACTTTATCAGCTGTGACAATGTTATAAGTCCGGCAATCTTCAAGGTACGTTTTCGATGAATAATCCGTAAAAATGTTGTGCAGGACATTACTTTCTTCGACATTAACACATATCGTACTTTTCAATTTCAGGTTGGCGACGATTTGCAGCAGGATATGTTGACACTCCAGATGGTACGCATAATGGACAAATTATGGTTGAAGGAAGGCCTCGATCTGAAAATGGTCACCTTCGCTTGTGTGCCCACCGGCCACAAACGCGGAATGATAGAAATGGTGACAGATGCCGAAACGTTACGGAAGATCCAAGTCGAGTTTGGGCTAACTGGGTCGTTTAAAGATCGACCGATCGCGGAATGGCTGGCGAAACACAACCCTTCGGAACTGGAATACGAGCGGGCGGTGGAAAACTTCACTGCCTCTTGCGCAGGCTATAGCGTTGCCACTTATATTTTAGGAATTTGTGATAGGCATAATGATAATATCATGCTGAAGACGTCTGGTCACTTGTTTCACATTGACTTTGGAAAGTTTCTCGGTGACGCACAAATGTTTGGAAACTTCAAAAGGTGAGTACATGCCGCAATATATTGCATTTAATTTATTTCTGAATTTACACTGCTGTACTGTATCCTTATTTTAAATAAAAAGGATGAGATTTCTCTCTTTCTTTCTATCTCTTATGTTATATTTTTAATCAGAGATAGGACGCCATTTGTGCTGACGTCTGATATGGCATACGTTATAAACGGTGGTGATAAACCTTCGGCGAAATTTCATCATTTTGTGGACTTGTGTTGCCAAGCTTTTAATATAGTGCGGAAACATGGAAATCTTATTCTTCATCTTTTTGGATTGGTATGTTTTAAAATATTTTTATTCTTTGAGGAGAATAATTGATTACTATGTCACACAAGTAACATAGAAAACACAAGAACATATATTTAGTGCGTTTTGACAATCGAACTTAATCTTTCCCAAAAATCACCTACATCTTTCTCTGTAATCTTCGTGCAAAATATGTGTCATAATGAATCATAACATTGCTTTCTTTTAGTGTCTAATACATTTTTTACGCAAATAGCTTTATACCACAGTTTTTCAATTTCATTAACGTGACTTTTTTAAATTTTACACTTAAGGTGAATGAACTTTAAGCAGTACAAATTTAAGTGCTATTGAATAAATCATGTTGGAATAATACATATATTTTCAATATGATTAGATGATATGTTTTGAATTAATTATTATTACAAATGCAAATGCGTTTTATGCTAATTTTGCAAGCAATTAGAATATATTTGGAGTAAGGAATTTATCAGTTGTATGGTCACTATCAGTTATGTGGTCTACCACACCGCTATGAAAACAATAAAACCACAACGGAAGAACATATCCGTGTGCTTTATCAGAAACTGGACCGCTATCTCATGAAACTATATGCGATGTAGTTAATTAGTATTTATCGCCCGCACTCCCATAGTATCGTACGCTGCAGCAGTCTGAGTCAATCATGTTAACAGTAAAGTACCGTTGAGAGTGAAGAAAAAAGTTGAGGAATTATTATAAGATCCGACAGCATTACATAAAGATTGCACGGTGTACAAAAAAATAGATTCATTCTTTTAATATCCAACGAGTAAATCGTGATGGATAATTTAATATCGCGAAAGAATCTTCTCAGTGATCTGCACAAGCAAAGTATCATAGCGCGAAAGCTGCACGATATCGAGATAAAGGATCATTTGAACAAGGCAAGAATGAATGTGTACACGGCTTCGCAGATGACTTCGTCCGGTATCCCGGGGGTGACCGTGGACGCGGTTAGTTACGTGCAGAAAGCTTTGCTCCCCGGACAAACGAATCCCGAAGCAGCGGCGACCTTCGCTCGCATGATAGAAAGCTCATTGAAAAGCTGGTTCACGCAATTCAACTTCTTCCTGCATAATCTGGCGCAGATGAGATTCTCTGGAGAGCACACTGAAGGGGAGCTATTATCCTTTATTCCACGCACGTACACGTAAGTTTTTCACCGTCGTTAAATGTTATGGGCAAGCATAAAGCTGACCGTATCAGCCGCAAAAGATCAGGAAAACATAAAAGACTTTTCCTGACCTTTCCACTAATACACATACTAATATATTCGTAATTATTCTAGAATGCAGCAGGAAGGTGAGTTAACAAGCGTCCAGGTTCACGGATATCAAAAGCGTTACGATCCGGAGAAATATTACATGTACATTTTACGGATACAACGGAAGGGCCAACCGGACCCGACATATCTATTTCGATCGTATAAAGAGTTTTGCGAATTCTATCAGAAATTGTGCATACATTTTCCACTTGCTAAAGTGACCAGGTAAATATACGTATATCAGTCGCACATCCTGCTTTCTACATTCCCAGTTTTATTCTCATCTTTATCTTGTAATGCTTAATACAGTATAATATTATAAAATTATCGCAATCTTATATTTATTTTAACGTACGAGCTGTGATTAACATTTCCTCATATACTAAAATACTTTAAATAAACATTACGTTTACGTATAAACGTATAACATTAACACATTGCATATTTAACTCATACATAGTTAAATTATATTCGATTTATAATAATTAGAATACATATCTATACTTAAAGATATACTGTGAATTAATTTAGTAGCAAATTTTTCTATTAATTATTTTTCAATTTGATTAGTGACATCTTCATTTCGAATATAATATAGAAATAATAATAAATGCGAATTAAGTAAACATATAGAAAGAAAGAAGATGGTGAATAGAGATATCCAAATCGAGACAAAAATATCCATCTTCCATGCAAAATATCTTTATATACGTGTATTAACATTCTTTTCTTATTAAATCACTAACTCGTTATCTGCACAGATAGGACTTGTATCTAACACATCATTCTGATTTTTAGTTATCTTATTTGATTCGTTGTTGCAAGTCGATGGCTCTTTTATATTTAGATCTTTGTTAGAAGTAGAAGGCTCCGCATTTTCAACTGCATGATTATTTATCTTTAGTTTCTTATCATTGTTTTTTATCGTAATTTCCTCCGAATCATTAATTGACAATGATGACTGACTTGTAAGCTCTTCTTTCGAACGGTCATATGGTACTGTTTCGTTATCGTCACTTGCCGTTGAATAACTTGCGAATGAAACAGGCGAAACTGAGACTTCTGCAGTTCTCTGAATTGACGACTCGGAGAAAGAAATTCTCCGATATAGGCCCGCCATTTCGGGAACTTTGGCCGCTGCTTTCTCGATCGATAGACGTGCCCGAAACCATTTTAGGCCCATTTTTTCTAAAATTTTGTGTTTAAAATGTCTCTTTGGAAATCAGTTAATTTGTGTTGAAGATTTGTAAGTCTTAATTACATTATTTAGAGATAATATTTCCATATTCTTACTGAATAACTAATTAAAATATTTCACAATTTTTACTTTCTGTAAATATTACAAAAATGTTTAGGATATAAATTACGGTTAACAAATATACCTAATTCTTAAAAGAGAGGAATCGCAACTTGATAATTATATGTTAAAGAAATATCAAAGAACTATCAAATATTTATGTTAATGTTAATGTTTTTGTAATATTTACAGAACTCTGAGTCAAGTATATTTATTGAACGTAATTTATCTCCTAAAAATTTACGTTATATATTCTATTTTATTTTCTTATAATATTAATTTTCCTGATATAAAGTGACAAATGTTTTCTTGCTACTCCCAAAAATAATCTATGTACTTACAATATAGAACTGTCAGTACAACTGTCCTCTCGCTCGTACTTGTTTCACAAGAAAAAATATCGTGGTTGATCTGAGTTCAGCTGAGTTAATCACAGTTTTGAACGGAAAACTGCGTGCTTCGTTGTCACAAACCAAACTACTTTTTGCGATCCTAAAAACGACGCAGAACGAAGACAATATGTCATACGAAGTGTGACGAAAGAATATCTTAAATGCAAAACCTCTTGGCACACAATGTCATACCTTTTGATATGTTATCTTCAGATCATCTGATATAGTCAGACATATCTCATATTTAACAGACTTAGTCATGCAATGACGAACCTGGTACAATTCGTTAAACGTTGAAGAGATGCAAGGACTTAATACGACGAATCCGAAGTTAATTGATACACTCTTTTCGTATATTGAAACACTTGAAATTAATTAAGACACTTGATTCAGATTCAACCACTTGAGTTTCAACTCATTCTTCCTCATGCTACAAAGAGATCTCACAAAGTGACTACTATTTAATGTAGCCGTTTGGCCTCTACTGTTTATTTACAAAACGATAACGTCTAACGATATCTGTGTTAATCTACCGAGTGAGGCGCGAATATAGGAATGTTTACGAATACAGGGACATCGTATTCGCTCGTGCTGCGAGAATAAGCTTGATCCTCTCAATTTGTTTTACAGTTTACCAAGTGGAATTAGTGTCGGACGTTCTAATATTAAGCAAGTAGCCGATAAACGGCGGGCGGATATAGAAAAGTTTCTTGTAAGTTTGTTTAAAATGGCACCGGAAATATCCCAAAGTGATCTGGTGTACACTTTCTTCCATCCGCTATTACGAGACCAAAAGAATCCCGACATTCGTTTACGCAAAGTCAAAGGTATTCTTTGAATTCTCTAAATATATTATCATCATTATTTGTAAGCGCCATTTATTAAGCAGTTCGAAATATATCTTCTTAAATGCAGCAATATTTATACGTTTGTATAAATTGTAATAAATATATGCCGCAATTCGAAGCAAAATCGTAAGACTCGTAACTTGTTTTCGTAAGACTCATAAGAACTAACTTATCAGTAAACTGCAATTCTATGCTAAGCACACGTACACGGTACGCATAGAATTGCAAATTACTCGTAAGTTAGTTCTTATGAGTCTTACGAAAACAAGTTACGAGTCTTACGACTGCAGCATTAATAATAAATTGTGCAGAAACTGAATATTTATTGTGACAAATATTACAATGATTAGAGTAAATATGTACTATATATTAATAGGATTAATACCTGATAAAATTGTGTTTTAAGCCAAAAATTATATAATTTATCTGGAGATTTTATAACAGTCCAAGCGTTTGAAATTTGTATAATAAAGTAAATAATTTATGGAATAATACGTAAAATGACGTCGCTGTTATATAACAGTTGGAAACAATTGGTGGGCCGAGAAGAGGGTTAGAGACAACGTCCAGAGTGGTCAGATCAAGTTGGCTCTTCACTATGTTCGCGGCACCTTATCTGTCATGGTTTGTCACGCCCGAGGACTCCCCAAAGTGGCTAATGCTCAAGAGCCAAACACATATGTGAAAGTATACCTCAAGCCCGATCCTACAAAGGCGACGAAGCGGAAAACGAAAGTAGTGAAGAAGAATTGTCATCCATCATTCATGGAGATGGTAAGTGAAGACAGGTTTTTATAATAAATTATAAACGTTGAAAATGGGTCAGCACTAGGTACAAAGATACAATCCACCATGTAACTGTTCACTTGAATTTTTTGCACTAGTTGGAGTACAGAATGCCTTTAGAAGTGATCAGAGAGAGAACCCTCGAAGCAACGATATGGAATCACGATACTTTGCAGGAGAATGAATTTCTCGGTGGTATAAGTTTGCCGCTCGGACGTCTCGACTTGACGAACGAAACAATTGAATGGTTCCCGCTAGGTAACGTTCGATGAAGCAAGTATAAAGACTGGAGGATATGTATGCATAGAAGTCTCCTTAATGCTCATAAAGAGAGATATTGCTGTTAAGACATAGATGACATACTATTAGCGCACAATATTAAAACTTCTTTATTATGCACAGCCAGGTGCAATAATCACCGTGCTTTGACATAAAAGTAACTTTTATTTATATGATTTCGTGCATCTATCAAAGCTTCGTTTTTCTTTGACGGAGTAAAGATCCGAAATTGATAAATGTGAAAAACTGTGTGATATTCGAAAGAAGATAATTATACGCAGAAGGAGAGTCATCTTCTACAATAATTACTAAAAGAGATAGTGTATACACAATGGCTATAGTACAGCAAGTATCTAAAAAGCATCTAAATCAAGCCTGCATAACAAATAATTTACGAAAAAAAAAGAAAATTGTAACAATAGTTTAGAATTTTATATCGCACTCCTTTAATTGTATCTTTGACATATTATATCTGAAAATATGACATTCAGCATGAATTCATTAGATTTATATTGGAAGCTTACTCTTTTATACAAAATTATATACACTTATTTATTTATATCACTTTTTACTGACTAATGATCACCAATTGTAAATAGAATGTACTTTATATCATATAATGAAGTTATTTGTAACAAACAATTCTACAATCCGAACAAAAAGAGTTTGCAGTTTTCTATTACAGATCTAATTACATGTATCTAATTACATGAAAATAGGTATAAAAATAGTATATAAAAGTTGAATTTTGATACACGACATACAGCAGAATCATGTTTCACGGACTTTATGGTGTTATTTTATTATTAGGAGGAAAATCTACATTGTCTGTTTATGTAATGGCCTCATTTATAATAAACAACATTGTACTATTGATAAAACTTGTAAATACTATACTATTAAATATGTGTAATAAATCATTTTCAAACTATCCGTCGCATATATGTTATACCATGTATTGCTTATACATTTATATATTTTTAGGATTAGTTTCATCACTGACAAGTCCCGAAAATGTTACTATTTTATCTTAAAAATAATTGCCTCTACTGCAATTGTATCGCTCAAACGAAAAAAATGTGTTTCTAATACATATACATATAATTATAATTCATATTTAATCGTCCTCTTTATCAGTGAAAGGTAACGCACGTACAAATATAATCTCGATGAAATTTAGTTAGCATTCCCTTGTAGCCGAGGCGCCACTAATACTTCAATTCCTGGCCACAGAATTTCTCACAGGGATGACTACTGATCCACCAAAGGCAGAAGTCAGAAATTCACTGGACAGGAAAGAAGTGCTGCACCGCCAACTAATCTACACAATATTTAGATCTAACTTACAGACTCAAACACATTGCACATCGTATACAACCACGTACATATGTTTATATGAGTAATAATGCAGTAAATATTTGAGGAAAGATGGAGGCAAGATACCATTTCTAATTCACCACGTTTGAGATTTTAATGCGCTAATACTTTGGCTGGTACAATCCAGTCGCGCGCATAAATAGAAATGCTTTTAAAAGATTATTGTAATTTTTATATCTTCAAGCGTGTACTTATTAACTTTTAAAAACTTTTAAAACTATCGTAAACCGCAAACATCAATTAACATAAATTAACAGTGACGTGACATCAATATTATAATTTTCCACTCAACAATGTAACAATATAACTGTTACGTACATGTGTTATATTACATTTATATTATCGAGTGGGAAAATATAATATTTATGTAACTGTTCGTTGTGAAAGGACAGTTTTACACATTAATAGAGGAAAGTCCTCTATTATGAGATAGGCTTCTAATGTGAGATAATAGATTTTCAACGTTCAAATTCAATCATAAATCTTTTTTCGCGACGATTACACGATCTAACTTAATAAATTTCCCACTAAACAGATTTCACTTCAAGAGTAATAAATTCATGGTGGAACCAACAGATGATGCTTGTTAATTTAACAGAATCCCCGCTATCTCATATTAGAAACCTGTCTCATAATAGGGGACTCTCCTCTACATATTAATGCAGTTATAAATAATCATCAATCTATGCCTACACTTTATGCCCGTATATAGCGTAATTTTACGCGTTCCGTCGGCGAAGCATTAAGAACATCAGACACCGCTAATTGTGGGCGCTTCACGAAATGTCCGACTCATTATCTGCCGCAAACATAATGCGTCATTTCTCGCGACGTCGCCTTATCGGTGGGAAACTCGCGCTCTGAAGTGAATTATTTCGCATGCCAGGAATGATCCTTGCTTCGGAAAGGTAAGAGCGACGATGATTGCGAGGGGCGTCGATTCGCGCGGAAAGCTGCAATTTATTTGAAAACTAATTACGCCGGGCCGATTCAAAGCTACCCAAGGAAAAATGAAAAGTCAAGATGACGTCAATTTGATGTCATATTGACCAAAATATGACATAAATTTGGTCAATATGACATCAAATTGACATCATCTTGACTTTTCATTTTCCTTGGGTATCTCTTTTGGTAAAAAATTAAGTATTGTGTTGCTCTTTTAAAAAACGCGACCGTTTATACCCGCCCGCGCCTAGACTGCCGGGTTGAAAATTATGTCTTTGCGTCTCGTCTCGCTAAAATGTCTAAATATAAATCACGGAAAAAGCCAATCAAATAAAGCGCATTCCGGATGTCTCCGTCCAAAGGCATTTCGCCTCAATGTTTCCCCAACAGCCCTTTCTCAACCCTTTAGATAAATCCTTGTCGAATGAGGGAAAGAGGGAGGGGAGAAAAACTTTTCGTCGCGGATTTGTTCTCGGCGGCCCTGCTTAATGAGTAATTTTCTGGTAAGTATCCCGGCAACACACACGCGCGAAACGAGATAGAGTCGCTATTTGAGACGCCGTCGTAAATATTATGCAATCGCAATTAATAGCTTTCGTGTGTGCTCACCGAGATATCGTACACGCGCGATCGTGCGACAACTGTGACATATATGACACAGCGCACGCCATAGACATTTCAGTCGTGCGTATAAAATTACGCTATTTTGTTAATTTTGCTTCTTCGACAGCGTCGAGTTTCGAAGTATGCAGAGTTTGATGCAAACACGATTTTAAATGTCAAAAACACATTGACATGAATCGCTGCCCGAAATAAACGCAACGTATAATGTAAGCTTTCAGTAACGAAAATATTATATATAAAATTCTCACGAGTTACTTTTCCTTCATTTAATTTTTTAGCTTTAAATTTAAAAAGAGGCCCATTTTTTCAATATTTCGTCAGATATGCGACGGCTAAATGCAATGAAATAATTAAATTCTAATTATTTCGGCGCGACGCAATATAATAAAAAATGTAAAATGCAAAAAATTTACGCGGGGAGAATTTTCTCTTAAAATTGATCCTGAAAATCATATGGGACAACATGGCATTTTATGAAACTTTATGAGAGCAGTTTGAAATTTTACTAGTAAAATGTATGGTAAAATTTCAAAAAGCTCTCACAAAATTCTTCGAAACAGTTACACGATTTTCGGGATCAATTTTAAGAGAAAATTCTCTCCGTGTGCGAAATTTTTTTGCACGCGGCCAATATTCAAGTTTTTCAATTTAATCGTATATCTTGAATCACATTTGCGGTAAAATCTGGCAATGTTATTACGCATCTCCAGGATCTAATGTTATGCTCGCCGATTAAACATTTGAACTTCCTACCGGCCAT